TGGCTTCAAGGGATAAGCCTCATGATGGAAATTTACAAGAAGGCAGAGCAAAGGTTGTGCAACATTGACCATTTCCTGACGTTTTAGTGTTTTCTCAAGCAGATCTAATGCTGTTGTAACTTAGGTGGGTGAAATGTGTGTGTGAACACACACACATCCATACACATAAAAACTAAGAATAAAAGTTTAAAATTTAAATACAGAAAAGAACATTTTAGCTCTGAAACTTCAAAGCTTGAGAACTCATAATAATAGGAACATACCAGTTGCTATGTGGGATAAGACCTGTGGTTCAACTGGCCCACTGTTGCCTCCATTTTTACCTTATAGATATATGAAAGGAAGGCACAAAAATACCCCTCACAATACTGCACTAACAGATCAATAGGGGGTGTTTCTTCCTAAGCCCAGCAGGGTTGCCATGAGTCTTGCAACATTAAGGGTTTGTGTCCCAGATAACTTGTTATCTTTGTTAATGTAACTACAGATATTCTCACTTTCCATATAATCATTTAGTGAGTCACCATAAACTCTGTCCCAGTGGCATCCTTTGGCAGTGAATTCCACAGGTTATTCCTTTGCTGGGTATAAAAACATTTCCTTTAATTGGCTTTAAACACACTGAAATTTCACTTCACTTAGTATCCTTGTTTTGGGGACTGTCCAAGAAGGTCAATATAGAACACACAATTCACCTTCTCTATGCCATTTATTAGATTAGATAATAATTATGGTAATTATATTAATTAGTTTAATATTATGGTCATATTCCTTTATTATGTCACTTCTTACTAGTCAGCAGCCTAAAAATACTTGTAAACATGTTTCATTCACTTAACAATTTCCACTGCCTTTCTCATTCTTCAGCCATTTTGGGGACAGATTGACTAGTACTTAAGATAGTGTCCCATATCAATGTGTACCATCAATTTATATTGTGATAACACTATAACACTTTTGAGGGCTTTGCTGTTGAAACAGCCTAAACATCCTATTTGCTTTTCAGCGCATGCTGCACAATGAGCAGGTGGTTTAATTGATCTCTTCACAATGATGACCAATTTTTTTTTTGAGTCATGGCAGCTAATTTAGACCAGACAATCCATATAGCTTTGAACAAGTCAAATTGTTCTTTCCAGTGTATGTGACCTTGTATGTGTTTTCACTGAATTTTGTCTAGAATTGGTTGGTACACTTTAAACAGTTTAAGAGTCTACAGCTGTACCTTGCCTTGTCTCCTATTAGAGGAGTTGCCAGAACCCAACAGAGCTGCATTGTCCATATGTAGTCAGGCCTTGTATGTTTGTCTATAGCTGGCAGACAGTTATTTGAAGCCCATTTTTACTTTATGGTTTCCTCATGTTTTTTACATCATGTAAAAAAGTGAAAACATGACCATTATTCATCTTATTTTGTACTTGCCTACACTGAATTGTATCTGCCCTGGTGTTGTTCATCTTTTTTTAACCTTCCTGCATTCCAGTCTTTTGTAGTCCTGACTAACCTAAATAATTTTCTACCCTTCACATATTGTTAACTCTCACACACCTTCTTTCCCAGATAATTAAACACTAGTTTCTATATGGCTCATTTAGGTCACAAACTCTGTCTGTGGCATATTGAAACTTGATCCATCATTTTAAATATAATTGTTTTAACTATAATTATTACTACAGTTATGGCTCAGCCAGTTTCTAGACCACAAACAAAAGGTCACCTCTTACTTTGTGGGAACTTAAGGTCAGTTTCTAGTCCAACCTTTGGGTATCTAAGTGAGTTTAGATGACTAAGTTTAGTTATATTTCACTTTTCTCAAGTCCCTGAAAATCCAATACTGCATATCTATCTATCTATCTATCTACTGCATCTGACTGGAGGGCCGGGTGGTAACGTGGTAGAGCTACTTGTGTTGGGATAGTTTTTCTAAATTACCACAACGTTGCAACCTCCAAAGTAAGGCAACTATAGGGTGCCTCAAAACCCTAGCCACCACTACCTTGTGGGTATTCCTTGGTTGGAGAAACATCACCCTGATGGAATCATGCCCTTTCTCAGGCATTAGGCAGTAAGCAACAGTTCTTATCTTTGCTTTCTGGCAGAAGCTAAAGTAATGAGGCACTGAACATCTGGACTCAGTCTGGGCTTTGGATTCTATCTCCGTGGTTTAAAGAGGGGATGGTAAGTCTTGGGCAGGCTCTGCTCCTCTATACTCTTCTCCACATATACACATTGAAGGTCTTGGTATGATGGTTGCAGGACTTGGTACAAGTGTTTTCATCAGGCACCTGACTAGACCTCTTAGGCATACACCATGATCCAGAGGATCAATGGCTGTCCACACACACACACACACGCACACACACACACACACGCACACACACACACACACGCACACACACACACACACGCACACACACACACACACGCACACACACACACACACGCACACACACACACACACGCACACACACACACACACGCACACACACACACACACGCACACACACACACACACGCACACACACACACACACGCACACACACACACACACGCACACACACACACACACGCACACACACACACACACGCACACACACACACACACGCACACACACACACACACGCACACACACACACACACGCACACACACACACACACGCACACACACACACACACGCACACACACACACACACGCACACACACACACACACGCACACACACACACACACGCACACACACACACACACGCACACACACACACACACGCACACACACACACACACACACACACACACACCATCATTTGACCCTTAAAGTTTAAAAAACAAAAAAGGCATGAGGAAGAGGATGACCCACCCACCTTTTGTATTAATAACTTTTCAGGGACTTGAGCAAGGTGAAACAGATTTGTACATAGGTGTCTACAGCCGCTTGCATCCATAAATAGTGGAATAGAATCTGGTTTTTAGTTTCTTAAGGAACCTCTTCCTAAGGTACATTTCTGAGCTAAGTGAAGGTCTGAATATAACTGCATCTTCTAGTTCTTCTTTGTTCAACATTTTGTTGAGTTACTCCCAAAAGTCTTCATGCTCTCCTATCTGGCTGTGTGTCTATATCTGTGTGCAGTCTCTTGCTTTAAGCTAAGCTCTCTGGGAAAGGCCTATCTTTTAGTTTTGTGTTTGTACACATCTTTGCACAATGGAGGCACTACCCTGTGACTGGAACTTCTAGCTCTCCCCCCTTACCTCTCCCCAGTAACACAAATAATCATAAGCTGAAATTTTCTTTTACAGAATCCAGGCTTTTTTCCATATCACATTTTGTTTGTCTCTTCGCAATGTATACTTCTGTATACATGATGCTGCTTTTAGTTATTGTACTCATTAAGCCTGATAAGTAAGTCTGATAGTTTTGTATCTATAGCACGGCTTCCATGTTCTGCCATATATGTGTTGACTTATACACACTACCACTCAGATCTTCTGTATTAGGACTGTATTTTATGTGAGGTATCACAATAGGTAATTGCAATTACCAGAAAGCATACATGAGAGAGTTTTCTGATTGCCAGGAGACAAAGACACTTTGGAAATCTTGAATTTTGCTACAGATGAAATTCTATAAACTTTAAAAAAGAAGACATATTGCTATTTACAATTTCTTTTCACTAACAAACTCTCCTAAACAAAATTGGTATATGATTAAGTAAACATTTATACATAAATAAAACAGTGACGATCTCTTCAGTTATTGAGGAGCAGCCAGTTCAGTCTCTTGTAAATAATACAGTGATGAATTCTGTCATTACAGTGCAAGATAAACCTAACTTAACCTCAAAGTCTTAAGCAAACTAATCCATATGCGTGAATCAATCTGTTCATTTTAGTCATACCAATGTTATATAAATGCCACTAAAATCAATGCCTGAAAGACAGAACAAATTAATAAATCCTCATGCAGTACATCTAACTGGGATGCAAACCGACAGTACATAACTTCCCACTGAACACAACTATACAAATAGTTTGAATAAGTCATTTTAATAGAAGATTCAAAGGCAGGTCTGTAATAAGCAGGAGCAAATGAAAAAAATCTAGTGGATTATTAATTTCAGACAAAACCAATACTTTTAAAATAATTTTATTAATGCTCTCAATGATAGTTTTTCATACCATTTCTTCCATTGGTGTACAGTAATTACAAAGCGTTAGGATTTATTCCATGCCTGAAGACAGAGGAAGTTCAGCTAAGATGTTTAAAGTAAATTAAACGTAAATCGCTATTGATTTAGAGCTGGATTAAATAAAAATTCTGCCTCGAGGGACTGAATGGATAAGGGATTTCGAAATTGGATACAGAGCCTTTTCCCAATTAAAATCTTTGATCAGTTCAGAAGTGGCTGGTTGTCTTTACTGTTTGAGTGCTGCTCTGAGGCTTAGAGGACATGAGCTAGTAGCATCCATCTGGCAATTCCTTTGTGGATACTATCATCTACATGAAGTAAACTATCACTGCAGTGGGTATGCCAGACAGTGCCACAAGAGGGGTAATGAATGGACTGAGTGAGAATAGGTTTGAACTGTAGACTTTGGCCCTGCCCCTGCAGTTGAATGCATGCGAGTAGAACTTCACATGCATGGGTGAGTGGGTTTATTTAGTTTGGAGAAGGGAAGACTGAGAGGGGGTTTGATAGCAGACTTCAACTACCTGAAGAGTGGTTCTAAAGAAGTTGGCGCTAGACTGTTCTTAGTAGGGGTAGATAACAGAACAAGGAGCAATGGTTTCAAGTTGCAAGGGAGGTTTAGATTAGATATTAGGAAAACCTCTCTCACTAGGAGTGTGGTGAAGTCCTGGAAAAGGTTACCTGGAGAGGTGGTGGAATCTCCACCCTTAGAGATTTTTAAGGCCCAGCTTGACAAAGCCTTGGCTGGGATGATCTATTTGGGGATGGTCCTGCTTTGAGCATGGGGTTGGACTAGATTAAACCCTAATTTTCTATGAACTTTGTGTCAATGAAGATGCAAGAGTAGGACTAGGGAAATGGGTCCAACAGGCTGCTCATCCCATTGGTCATTTCTAACCATGTTCTCATACTTGCTCAACATCCAACTTCCACTGTTCTTCAAGGGTTCTGCTGTGCGCTGAGCTCTTCTGATCACCAGCTTCCTATTTCCCAGTGATTATTAGCTCGCACTCGCATGCATCTGCATTTACCTGCCCATGGCATAGGGCAGTAGTTTTCAACTTCCTGGGACTTGAGGTACCCTTCTATAAATTTTGTGAATTGGGTGTCACCCAGTTCCAAAAACATATATATTAATTACAATGCTTATTTCCTTGCAGAAGGACTGGGAAGTAGAGGTGGGGGATCATTCAGGCAGGGACAAGCCTGAGCCTGCATTTATCTACTTGGCTTATCTGCTTATCTCCTCACACCTTGACCACCCTTCAAAGGATTTGGCATGACCTTGGTTGAGAATCACTGACATAGGATATGAAAGTGTTTGTGGGTGCTTCTGAGATGGTTGCGGTACTGACAAATGCTGAACCTACATATGACTTACAGAGGTTTCCTGAAATCAGAAGTGATGGAATGCACCAATTTCATCATGTAATCTGCATGTGCTATGTATTCAACACTGAAAATACATGCAAAGGAAAAGCCGAGGGCAGGATTTATCCTTTTCATTCCTATTAGTTTGTTTTTGATCATCTTTATAGCCAGGCCCCTTTGGGTATGTCTATGCCATCCTGCACTACTAGTCTGGATGAGAGGCAGGGCATCACTCTGGGGTCACTTTCCAGGCCTCTTGTCTCTGGCATGCTTGAGACTGGCCATGGAGGATGTCCCTGGAGTAGCTTCACTGCTGCTTTTCCAGCTTGCTTCATGCAAGTGAAAGGGGTGGGGAGGGGCTGGAGGAGGAGACTGGGGCAGGGCATTACTTGGAGAGCTGAGAGCCCTTGGTTACCATGCACCCAAAAGGAGAGAGTTATAATGAACAGATTGCATGTGCCACAAAGAAAAATTCCTCTACACACAGTGTTAGAGGTCTAAGGTTCGATGCAATGGGAACTTCCAGGGATAGACACCAATTTTGAGACCTGTAGAGAAAAATAATGTGAATTTCTGTTCTCTAGTATCATAGAGTTTCCATCTATATACCTGTTTGTTCCTAGATCATAAACCTGTCCCTGGCTGAAGACCACCTATATATGAGGTTTAATGTTGCCAAACTCACCTTTCAAAAATCACGTCAGGCCCCAACACAATCAACATTTTAAAAAGTAATAAATCAAACTGTGGTAGGCACAGAAGCAAATAGCATTTTCAAGATTTCCTCCATGAGTAGGAGTTTTGTCATCCAGATGGAAAACCTGACGGTGATAGCATGCTTCAGGAAGACAGGAGATGTGGATTTGAAATGCCATAGGCCCTACACCACAAACTTCTTGGGCAAATGGAGATGGGTACAACCATCAGTTAGTGAGACTCCTGCCTATGAAAATGGGAGCACATGTGAACAGAAATACCTGATGGCAAGTACTAGTCACATATTTAAGTCCCTGGCTGGGGTGTGAGTTCAGACATAACCCTGTGCTTAGCGTTTCCTATTGGTTACCTGTAAGCACTTCAGTACTTTCTGGATTGCTTTTCAGAGGCACTTAAGGGCAAGATTCAGGAGCTTGAGCAGGCTCTGTTCACTCACACTCATAGACACACCACTGAGGTTACTGGGAACCTCTTTCTCTGTGCCTTCCCTCAAGCCCTTGGTCTTCAGAGTGCCTGGGAGTGGCCTGTGTGGATGTATTGAGAGCAGCCTTACTGCTCCAGGTTTGTAGAATGGGTTGAAAGGCCTTGAAAAGGCTGTGACTCATCACTGCCATGGTATATATTGGCCCTACATCTCCCCACTGTACGTGATCCTGTACGTGGTCAAATCAGATCATTGTCCTGGAGTAACAAGCCTAAGCTACAGTATTCTAACAGCTAACACTGGATTTGGGCCTACATTATTTGTTGCTCTAATTGTTAAATACATAGCAGATGAAAAATTCATGATGATACTACATAAAGCAAAGATTTGCTTTGTATCTGTCTGTTTTCTGGCTTGCACATCTCTCTTGTGGCTGTCCTTCTTAAGTACTATGTCCATCAGTCCCGACTCATGTGGCTAAAGTCTGACTTCTATTGCTTCTGTTATGTGTGGCCATACATACAAAGGTAAGTATAATATATAGACTTGTTCTCTCTCTCTCCCTTTCTCTCTCACGCACACACACAAACACATTCTGTCTACCCAGCCAAATTAGTTGGCCAAAAGCGATGGCTCTGCCTTGAGGGGGCGGGTTTTGGAATGCCTTCATATTTTATTTTGGAGGACCAAACTGATGAATATTCTTTCCCCTTTCTCAGATAATTCTGACTTTCCTGTATCAGGGTGATGGGAAGGAGTCCAGCTGGTTTCAATTGGTAGTTTCATTGCTTTATGTCATCTGCAAGTCTAGGCCCCAAAATTCAATTCTGTTAGAAGTAATGAAGGATAAATATCAACAAAATTATCTGCAAATAGCCCTGTCTGTTCAGCCTCTTCACAATTCATGCTATGCTCTTTTGTGGGTTCATATAACTTTAGAGTGTCAAAGCTAATCCCTGTGAGGCTTATGTGGATTTGGACTCTGAAAATACCTACATTCCTATATGAAACTCACTGGAGATGCAGAAATGCTTGTTGGGGGCCTGGGCTCATTTCCCAACATTGAATTGGCAAAAAGAAATCAGTACACTTAAGATAATAAGGCTCACTTCTTATTAAAAAAAACCCCCAAAAAACAAACAACTCCCCTGCACCCTGTATTTACATATTACAAGGAAATCTGATCGGCATTGATTCAGAAATTCTCTGTTTACCAAAGCTGTCAGAGAAGATGCTATTAAATGTGTGCCATTTTCTATTTACACCTCACGATTGCCCTCTAAAGTACCCTGGTAACAAGTGTATCTTGCCCTGAAATTAGGGATATATCTTCCCCTTGTATTATCTCTGTTTATACACTGGACTATAGCTACAATAGTGGCCAGTAATTGGGATGCCTTTGTTTTGCAGACCAAAATGAGGTACCCTAAAAAGGTCCTGATTTTTAGAGGCAGTTTTCAAACACTTCCTGCAATTTAAGCCATTTTCAGGTGCTTTGAGTTGAGAATCCCAAATTCCTAGCAGTTCTTCAACATGGAGGCCATTGGTCTCCTCTAAGAAAACAAAACAGCGTCCCAGAGATCCTTGGTATTTCATGGCTCTGCTGTGTGGTAGCCTGGACAACAAACCCTCCTTAAGCATAGCTCTCAGCAAAACTGCTTGCACTTTGCAGACTTGTTGGCCATAAAATGCTTTGCAGGTTTATTGGTCTGCATCACATGCCCTGCGAGTGAAGGATTACTGTCTCATTTAGAGGTGGGAAAATTGAGGCACAAAGGCCTAAGCCCTGTTCTACCTCTCAGATGTCTAAGTGGTGCTTATACTGTTTTGGGTAGCTAAGGTACTATCTTGTCCCATGCAGCAGCTACAAAATCATTACGATACCTAGGTTCCTTATTCACCAGCATTTTGGGAAAGACTTCTGGGTGATTAGACCTGGATTACTTGGCATCTTCTGCAGCAGTCCAGAACAGCTGCCACAGTATCTATCTCCACCTAAGCACTGTTGCAATTCAAATCTGTCTGGAAAGTACACACAGACCTCCAAAGTCCCTGACTCCTTATGAGGAGAAAAATGACTGCTTCATGCTGATGGAGGAGGAGAGCTCATCCACCTTTTCCCAGTAGCCTTGTGAATAAAGCACTTGTCTAGGGAATGGAAAACTTAGGTTCTTAGCCCCACTCAACTGGATGGGACTGGAACACACACCTTACATGTCCAAAGAAAATGCACTAGTGCCCAGGCCAGAAGCTGGGCCAGGCTGAAAGTATCTTCAATCACTACTGTTGAAGCTGGCCAGCTGGATGGAGAGGGATGCAGGAGTCATGGGGCCAGCAGGAGAACAGTCACATGGGAGTCTGATTGTGTAGCCCAGTGAAACAGATGTCTTTTCCATGACGAAGGCAGCCCTGAGTTCTGCTCCCATTCCTGTTTATGCATGTTGGAGTTGCCTAAGTTTTAACATCCCCAGAGCAGAAGAACACTCCCTGGGTGGAACAGGATCACAATCCTAAGGGAAGACGCATGCTTTTAGGGACAAACGGTAGCAAGGACCTAGGCATCTTAGAGGTGGACTAGAATATAGGCTAAAAGGTCAGCGCAGAGCAGATCCATGGGTAAACCAAATACAGAACCTCTCAGAAGTACTGGGAGTCCTTCCACCAGTCATTAGATGACACTGTCTTCCATTGGGACCCTTCTAAAGACTGGCTCCTGCTTTGGTGCTCTTACACTGTCTGTGAAAAACAAGATAAGATAAAGTAAACTGAAACGAAATAACGCCATTTGTCATACATTTATAAAATCATCCAGTGTTAAAACTCAGCAAGGCTTGCTTAATCCTGACAACCAAGAATTATTTTTACAATCTTCAATTTAAACAAGGGATTGTGAATCTATCTCGGACAGCAAAATAGAGACTAGTTGGGCACGGTTGAAAGTTCTTGGTAATTCGCATCCAAGGGCAAACCCGCCACCCATCTCCTCCCATTAGCCTACCTTGTTAGTGTGGGGTCAGCCAGCTGCCTTGTTTGCCATACTGTCATTCCATATTTTGAAAAGTGGGTAAGCTAGCCTCTATGACTTCCAGAGGACTACTGCTCTAAGAGTGAGTTTTATTTGCAAGGTTTACGTGAGTTATCTGCTCTCGTGTCGTTCCTTTTTTGGTAAGATCAGCTATATTGCAAAATAACATTTGAACTGCTATGTTCACATGGGTGTTGTCCTCCCTTGTCCATGACACTCAGACTTTTGGGGGACATATCCCCACTGCAACTGTAAAAATTGTGTCCAGTGAACTATCAGAGAATATGTCTTCCTTTTCTGGGCACATGGGGGAAACTGTGGGAAGGTTTTGCAATGTGGGTAGAACTAGCGTGGATCCATAATACACAGCAGTCATGTTTGCACAGCAAATGAGTTGTCCTCACTTGAGCATTACCCTGATGGACCTGTCAATGTGAGTTAAGAGTGCTACTACATTTGAGTTCAGGGACTTTTGTGTGGAACAGAACTCAAGTTTGGGGCATCATTGAAGATAACTGCAGTAGAGACCAGCCAGGGTGAAATTCACCTTTGTGCACCAGTAGGTCCTATTTAGAGGGTTTAAGTGGAACATAGGCCTCTGTACTGAGATAACTATAACCTCAGGGTTGGTGAAATGGACATTGTGCATACACAATAGTGTTCCTTCCCTCAGAAGTCAGGAAGACATCCAGAAGCTGATTCAGTACAAATAATAATCCCCTTTGGCTTTAGCCAAATTCTCCATCTGTCACTTGAACTGCAATTTTATTTCTCCCTTGGAGTACTATCCTTAGTGCTTACCTAGATGAACATGAAATACACCATGGGCACAGCTACATCAGATGGTTACTGCAGAGTAGACTAATTAGCTCCACAGTAGAGTCTCAGTGTCTACATGTGTGGCCCTATTAAGCCACAGTAAACTAATACATGCTGCCATAGGCTAGTATTTGTAGATACAAGTACTCTCCTGTGTCAGTGTTATTTACTGTGCAGCAGCACATACGTAGATGCTGCCAGAGCTGGCTGGGGCATGAAGGTGCTTCAGTGCAGGGGCTGCCTGCCGGTTATCACCGTGCTGAAGCACCCTTGTGCCTCAGCCAGCTCCTCCACAGCACATCAAGCTGGGTCAGAGCAGCCTGGGGCTGGCAGGCTGAGCCCCCGGACCCTGTGCCAATGGGGCTGCTCCAGCCTAGCTCAATGTCCTGCGGTGTAAACATGGTTCATGAGAGCAATAAACTCTGGTGCCATATGCGCCAGAGTTCATTGCTTTGCAATAATTTCATGCGTAGTCACGCCCCATGTGTATTTATTTTACTACAACACTCTTCTCAGTCTGACCAGTGCATGCTATTTATAATTCCGATCTAATCTGGTGTTTATTTAAGCAGGTTTTATCATAAATAGAAAATTTGTATAAATCATTGCCAAGTAAACAGATTTGTTTTGATATCAGATATTAACTGAAGGGTTCTTCACAGATTTTTCCTCTGAGTGCTGTATTTTACAGCTGTTGCTATAATAATTGCAACCTTGAAAGGTTGAAAGGAGAGCCTCTTTTTAATAGATTTGGATGGAAAATAGGGAGTCATCATGTATTAGGGGCAAAAATCATTTAGGCAGTTTTCTTGATAAATAACATGCAGGGAGAGATTAGGACAGGTTGAACTCATTCAGGGAGAATTAGAACTCCCCAAAACCCCTTCCAAAGTTTCAAATCAATTAATTCTCCACACCTTTTGGTCCAGCACACCTCTCTTGCTTTCTATTCCAGGGTAAAAAGTAGCACAAGGAAAGCTAGTTGCATACTACTGCTCATCTGGCCAAAATAAGGAAGCCAGGTGCAAGAAGTCAGCCATGCCTGTACTCATACTATTTCTTGTAGCAAATACTTGCAGTTTGGGAAGTACAGAGTGAAGGGAGGCTGTGGTTCTGGCTGGAGGAGATTTTATGCTTTCATAAGGAAGAGACAGACCTCCATAGCACGAGGGTTGTTCTGTCTTAAACAGGCTGAAAAGACCCAGAGGAAGCTAATAAGGAATTCATAGATGGTGAATAAACATGTAATTATTACTGAGCACAGAAATAAGTTAGAATGGACAGGAGCAAGGCACATCCTTGCTCATGTTGACTAGCAACCTACTTTTTGACTTATTTTATTGATTACAGTAGGATTAATTGCAGAATAAGGTGCTATTTAGTGGCAGCAAAAGTGGCAGAATTTAGCATTAAGAAAAGTAGAAGCAACCAAACAACCTTCATCTGAAAGAACCTGCCATGAAAGTAAAAACCTCTCTCAAATGAAGGGAGTCTCAAATAGCAGGTGTTGCAAATAGTTAAAACTCTTTGGTCTCTGATGTCATAATATGTTCATACAATGCTGCGTTCAATCAGCCAATGGACGAATCAGCTCCAACAATCCCAGCCGAGTGCTAAGGCGCCAGGGCAATGATCAAGATGATTTCTTAGCTTCTATTTGCTGTCTCTGTATAAAGATTTTTACCCACTCAAGCTAGTTTATACAGAGGAAACCTCATGTATATCATCATAGCAGCATCTGAGCTCTGTAGAGTTTTAGCTTTTGCTATCCTTTGCATGCTATTTAATTGCTGTTCTGAAATAATTAATGGTGGATGCTGCTGTGGAAGTAGTAGTGATGGACACAAGTGAAAATCTTAGGCCTGTCTGAGATGCATCTTTTTAATGGCCTATGTTGCACAACCAAGCCAGGACACATTTCCTCCTGTACTGCCCAACTCACTAGGCTTTGAGAGCGGTGGCTTCTAAATGTTGTGACTGTGTCCAACCCTAAAAAATACCACTGCAGTACCCATACACAGCAGTCTCACTGATGTCACTGCTATTGGCAATTTGCAAAATGACTCTGAATTGCTGGGCCCAACTCTATTTAGAATGAGAAATGCTCTGTTTACTCGTGAGCTTTTCACATATTGCAAACCTC